CAAAGAGGCCAAAGAGGCAGGCTGAAAATATTAATGTGTCTGAAGGACTGTATGTGTATGTACGTCATGTACCTATCTAAAATTTTATTTTGGACATGCCATTTTTTTAAGATGATTTCATGGAGACACAACAATGTTGAATTCAGTACATTTGTGCTGTGGGCATTCTCCTTTTTAATGACGTAGCAAAATCTTTAGTTCAATTTTTTTTAGTACTTATCGTCGACCATTTAATGTAGAGGTATAATGATAGTATTATTTGCATTTCAGAGAAAATCTACCAAGACATGGTATTGACGTCACGTTTACCGACATTACAGACTTGGATAAACTGGAAAATGCTATTCAAGATAATACTAAGGTATTTATTTTAAACTTTTCCCTCACAATTTGCACTATTAATTGATAAGACGAAAACTCAGTAATATTTTGTAGGACTAACCTCCGTACTCAGAGTCATTTAATGTCTTCTTAACCCGAGCGTACGGCGTGTTGCGTTCCGCGTGCGCCTCAAAGAGCTGATGGCTCTTTCATGGCTGAATTCACCACAGATGGGCCCCAATAGGGCCGATGCCGATTTGGAGTCGCGGAGAACCTAACGGGTAACCGGGGCTCCGGCTCGACGTGCAGGAGAAGGAACGGGGTGTTTTTTAGTCAGTAAGAGCCTGACACTCCCTCCCGTCTCACCCAGACGGAAGCAGTCATTCGATGATTTTCCCCCCTTAAAAAAAACCCAGTCAGTTAATGTCCGTCTGGTACATTAATTTAAAACTTTATACACGTATTTTTTCTTTTCTCACAAAATTAAATACTTTCGACGATATATTATTTTGAAATATCGTGTTACGTCACAGCGTAGCACATTTTGTAGCACGTTATGACGTAACGACCTCCCACTTCTAAACTTAGCGCTATTTCATCTAAGTATTGCAAAGTAATACGAGAAAATAAAAAAATACGTGTCTTATATTTTTTCTTTATCTAACTGACGGACTAATTATTTTAATTTTGATGTCCTGGAAACTACCCTATTGTTTTTGGATCAAAATTGTTTCTAAGGAATAGTTAAGGTAATCACTAAATGTCTCTGAATATCGCAGTAAGTGATAGAACTTCAAACCCTCGGGCCTTCAATCTATTTGCGTCACTACGGAAAATAATTCAAAGTTTATCTACTCCTTCTGGCTCTAAAATATTGTCTCTTAAGTCTTAAGAAATACACTCGACACTTGGCAAGAACGGAAAACAAACAACGTTTTAAATTCATTTAGACGTTCCAAGTTTATCTTGGACATTACTGACAAGTGGCGTTGGAAGTCACATGGATTCACGGAAAACACGAGTTTAAAGTTAGTGATAAAATGCCGGTAACAAAACTAACAAATTGGTACAGTTCCAATGATAATGCTTGACACATGAGTTGTTGATACAATCAGCTGTCTCAGATTGGTACGTGTAAAATAAAAACAAAAGAAAAGGACCATGCCGAAAACTGTATGCAGTAACAACCTTGAATTGATTAAATTAATTTATATGTGGCAATGGCAAGGTAGAGGTCTATATAGTGTATTCCAAATGCAATAATTAAATTTTGAATAACCTTCGGTATCGTAAGGGTTAAGATGGGGGTTGATTTAAATAAAAGTACTTGGTAGTGGTTACCGACCACTTGTATTGTATTTCGAATTATTATATCTATTTCTATTTACTATATAAAATAGAATGACACAATAACAAAATGATAGATAGTGACATCATTCAACCAATATGGTGCAAATATCATATTATTTTTTTAAGATACTTATAGTATTGGCGGAGAATCTTAACACCGCGATACAGAAAACGGTCTCAAATAAAAAGCGCCATCTATGGACGAATGTTAAAACAATTATTCTCTGAATCTCGGGTTTCTTATTTCTTATATGATATGACACGGTTGGACATTTTTCGATGGAAAAATTACCAAGTAATGGAAAAATAACCAGTTTATTATGGAGGCTCTTGGTTCGGTTATGTTTTTGTCTCTATCTTCTATATCTATATGTGTTAATTATATTTTTTCAATTAATGATTTTAATCGACTCTGGGTTTTTTGGGTATTCTCTTTTAACGAAAATTTTGAAAATAAGGCGTATGAAATCAGTGTGAAATGTTGAAAAGAGTAGTAAAAATTTCAACTTGGTGTGATGTTACCTATATCCGTTAAGGTTAATAAATGTAACTAGAAATTATAGTTTTCTTATCATAACATAACATCACGCCTTTTATCCCCGAAGGGGTAGGCAGAGGTGCATATTATGCAACTGTAAAATTTAACACCCACTTTCCGTTATTTATGTTATGAGTCCCATGTAATAGGAGATGAGCCTATTGCCATATACGGGACACAATTCCAGACTCCATGCTACTACTGAGATTTTATTTAAAACCCAGTAATACTTTGCCCGACCGTTTGGTAATCAAAACCGAGACCCTTTGCCCGGCAGCCGCACAAGCGATCACAGTTTTCTTATTTTTTGTTTTCTTATAATGATGATGATGTAAGTTACAAGGTATGCCTTTTTACAAAAAGCTGGTAGAAGTACGTGAGCCTAGGGGGTAATAAGAGACTAGTTTTAAGTCTCTAGAACTACTAATATACAACTGATAAATAATCTGTCACTACGTTAGCGACCAGCAATGCACTTAGATAAAAATACCCATTTAAAAATATACGTAGCAAAGCAATTAAGATTAAAATATTTACATAATAAGTCCAAATGTTTTTCAAATCTAATCTGAATGATATTAAGATTATAAGTACATACCTTCATATATAGGCCTAGATTTTGATAACAAAGGTACAATATTATCAAAAACATGTTATCTGCATCACGACCTAATGGACAAGTTGTGACATGTTCAAAAGGAGGGAACTCACATGATGAGTGATACACACACACACACATGATTGATTTAGAAGAGATTGAGAATAAGAAAGGATTCAATAAAAGAACTACTTTAAATGAATTCTTTTTTTTATGGCATAAGCCGGTAAACGAGCAGACGGATCACCTGATCGTAAGCAATCGGCGTCGCAAATGGCCACCTGGAACACCAGAGGCGTTACAAGTGCGTTACCGGCCTTTTTGGGGATTAGGAGTTTGAGGATCGTTGGGGATTCATGGATTGGGGAGATCGGGAAAGGGGAGCGTGATTGGACCTCCGGTAACCTCACTCACACGACGAAGCACAACGCAAGCGGCCGTGGTATCACTCTGGTCGAGCCGGCCTAATAGAGAATAGTTAACAGGTCTTTTAAAAATGTTGTACCACATTTATCATAACTTTTATAGATGTCTCAGTCTGACCCTTGGATTGATCTGATATCTGATTGATTTTTAATATATTTTTAAAGTCAATTTTAAATCATTATTTCCTATTAGAATAATACATGGCACTTTTAAACATCCAAAAAAATGTCAGTCAGTCCTCCAGTAAAGTTATTTATCCTCTTAGATACTTATGTAGTAATTAATTAAGATCTATCGCAAAATGTTACAACAATGCCTTACAGAACACATTATTTGCAGATGGTCTGGCTGGAGACTCCTACAAATCCTAACTGCACTGTAGTGGATATTGCTGCCACTGTCCAATTAGTGAAGAAGCGTGGTGATATCATTGTAGTAGTCGACAATACATTCCTCACATGCTACTTGCAAAGGCCACTGGACTTCGGTGCTGATATAGTAATGTACTCTCTGACCAAATACATGAATGGGCATTCTGATGTTGTGATGGGAGCAGCTGTACTTAACAGTCAAGAAATTGCTGACAAACTTAGGATTATACAGAAATGTAAGTATTTGAATAAAACTATAGAAAATTAGTTGTTTTTAATAAAGATTTGAGCGATACATACTTCAAAGAAGAGGGAAAAGCAAGCAAATGTGGAGTAAAACTTAAAATATTTTAAGTTCAGTGATAAGCTATATTTGAAACAAACAGAAAAGTTGTAACAGATATAACGTACAGTAATAATAGATATGGTATCATAGGTCAGTAATAGACAGCACTAGAAACACTAGATCCAAATAACAACTTGATAAATTTTGATCATATGATGGATCAATATGATAAAGCCGGTTTTCTTGATTGCATAAAGACCAACACAGTTACACAGATAGGTTTGAAGGACATCGTTGATCAAATAGATGATAAGTCGAAAATAACACTGAACTCAAGAAATTGAAGATAGAAGTAAAGATTTATTTATATTTTATCTTATCTTTCCAGCGCTGGGAATTGTTCCATCAACATTTGATTGTTACCAAGTCAACAGGAGTTTGAAGACACTCTCTTTGCGCATGGAACGTCATAAGGCAACGTCTCTAGTTATTGCTAAGTGGCTGCAGAAGCAACCGAATGTCATTGAAGTTTTGCATCCAGGTATTTTAAATGACCGCAAAGTAGAATGAAATGAAAAAAAAAACTAAATAGATTTTGATGAAGATAGATACAATGCAAATACAAAATAAAACACCACGTGGATACAACGTGGTTGTGTTGTTAACAAATTGTTGAAAATCATCCCCTACATTTGTTCATACAAAAGTAGTCTCTATATATTGGAAATAAGGTCTATAATGTTAGTTAGTGCAGAGCCGTTACCGATAACCGCTTGGGGATATATGGGTTGTCATGTTATGTTATTTTTGTCGTATAAATGTTCCGAAATTATAAATTATTGCCGAGCATTGATACGTAAAAAACCTAGCCTAGTTCGACAATAAATTGGTTTGACAAATTTGGCAGTAAATTAGCTTCATGAGTTTCAAATTTATTGGATTGTATTTAATGAGGGTTGAATTATTTTAGGCCTGAGCACACACAAAGGACATGAGGTTTCCAAGAGGCAAACGTCTGGTCATTCAGGAGTCTTCAGCTTCAGACATACAGGAGGTCTGAAAGAGTCCAGAAAACTACTGAGTTGCTTCAAAGTCTTTATATTGGCTGAAAGCTTAGGAGGATATGAAAGTTTGGCTGAAATACCGTAAGTTTTCTTTTTAACTATATTGTAATTTTAAACTAAACCTCGGCACTAGCTCACGATGTTAATTGTAAAAAATATTTAATCGACTTTTGACCTCATTGACAATCAAATGAAGTGAAAACATCAGATATTTTTTTTACAATTGACATGATTCTATTTTTTTATATTTGTCAAGAAATGTTTTTTGCATCAAAATGATGGATTTTCCTTAAAAATTTAAATCATAATGAATTCATTTTATTTGCAGATCGATTATGACTCACAAATCAGTTCCCCCACCACAGAAGGCACAGCTTGGCATCACAGATTCCCTGGTCAGGTTTTCCATTGGATTGGAAGACCCGGAGGACCTCATCAAAGATTTGGAAAATGCATTTAAAGAAACCTTTAATAACTAGGTTAGGTGATAAACGTCAAAACTTAAAGAGGTACCAATTTAAGATAGGGGTTTGTTAAAGTTAAAGTATTTGGGCACATCTGAAACAACACAATTGAATAAAATTGTCTGTCTGCGAATGACGCTTGGTGCTCGTTCCAAAGTGTAGTAAAATTACTTATAATACTATGTTTTAGGTTTAATAAAGGCATGTTTTTTTAATAACTGTTTAATTTTGTGTGGTCTTAAAAATTAAAAAAAAACTTTCACGTGGTATTTATTTTTAAGCAATGCTTGTTTCCTACAGATATTAGAATACGGCCACGTACTCAAATAATCTAAGGAGTATGAAAATGATATTTTATATAACTGTGAATTTTTATATTATTTTTACACATATAAAAAAATTCAACGTAGGTATATTTTTTTTTGAGTTTACTTCCAAAATCTTTAAAATTATATATTTGTTCGAATAGTGAATCGAACTAGAGCCTTTTCTCCTATAGCAATTATGCTTACAAGCCATTCAACCAACTAGGCAATATCATATAAATAATTAAATATTAATATTTTGATAAATTAAAAATTTGCGCCTTTGGAAAATAGTATGGCAAAAAAAATCACAAAAACATTGCTTATTTTTTTCACCAGGGGCACTTCACTTTTTAAAATAATAATCAATCATTTACCTCAGTATTATTTTTTGAAATTATTTGTTTAAATTTTAAAAATAAATTAAAATAATTGTAAATGGTAAGCAAAAAAACGCATTAACTAAGAGGCACTTGCAAGTCTTGCAACTCATAACCTAACTATATAACTAATAAATTTGAAGGTTAACTTTAAAGTTTAAATTATTAAAGTTTACAGATTTGTATAAATATTTTTAAAAGGATCTTTCTAAAATTTAGGGGTCAGTAGGATTTTAGCCCGTCAAAGCGTAACAATCGGCAACGGACATCATGCAGACGCATGTCCAATCCGATCATCATTCCCCGTTAACCTTTGGAAAGATCGACTGTAGAGCGGCCGGCGCGGATACTAGTACTCTGGCGTGTAACGAAACCATAGCGCGATCTATCTCGATCCCAACGCCATCTATCGAGCGCGTGGTCAATTTTTGATGTTCGCTGTTAATTTTTTTTCGATGTAAAATTTCATTAATTTTTTCGCAAGTTTTGTGTTGTAAAAAAAGATTATGGTATTGACTAATGTCTGGTTTTTTAGGACCCTTGTATGTGGTTGGTCTGTTCCTTCCTTATGAGCTATTGGCTTGATTCTCGATGCTGCGTAAAAGTGTTTTATCGAACAATATTATAAAATATTGCACGAATAAATATTGTTAAAATTAAAAAAAAATGACTCTTTATCTTTATAGATCCTACATTCGTTCATTTATCTTCTTTTTTCCACGTGTTAATTTTTTACAGCCCAGTGTCCAGAAAAACTTACGCGTATTAAATTGTGTGCCTATTTTCAATCATTTCGTTATCATATCATATCGAATATTCTCGATTAAATCAACAATAAAGTAAAAAAAAAACTCAAAGGTCCTTCTTTGTTTTTTTTTTTTTTGGTTTTAATTTTTTTTATGATTACAATACAAAAATTATTTAATATTATTTGTGTGTGTTACATGTTTATAGTTGGAACAGTTTTCTGGAACATACTTTTCAATATAACAGTGAATTTTTAGCTACGATATTTTTTTGCGTTTTTTTTGTTCATGTTTTTTATAGTTTTATTTGGGTAAATACCAATGTTGTTTAAAATGAGGAATATTTGAAATTTCGGTTACTTTTTAACAGAAACTTTTTCAATTACAAACATAATAATGAACAAGGGATTATTTACCCCAAAAATTACAAAAAAATGTTTGTGCATTTTTTATTTGTACAACTTAAAATCGGGAACTTATAATTATATGAAATGTCCTTGTGCTGTGAAATGCACCGTTATAAGATTAAATCTACCGTTTGTCCATATGTGTCTATTACAACTACAACGACATTGAGGAATAAAAAAAAATGCCGCTACTCACAAATGCGTGCCTTCGAGGTTATTTCAATAACAAAAAAACAGTATTTTTATGACTGCATCGTTGGCCGAGTGGTCGCAAGTGCGACTGCCGGGCAAGGGGTCTCGGGTTCGATTCCCGGGTCGCACAAAGTATAACTGGGTTTTAAAAGAGTCTCGGTAGTAGCACGGAGTCCGGAATTGTGCCCGGTATATGGCAATATGCTCACCACCTATTACATGGGACTCATAATATAAATAGTGAAAAGTGGAAGTTACATTGTACAGTGGCATAATGTGCACCTCTGCCTACCTTTGGGGATAAAAGGCTTGTTGTTAAGTATGTTACGCAGTATTTTTATTTTAGAATTTTTTTTGATAAAACCTCATTGTAGGTAAGTAAAGTTTTTTTTTTAATTTTTTTTTTTTTTATATCGCTTTAGTAGTGCGTAAATTGCAATATGAGTGATTACTTTGATACCAACTTAATGTAACGAATCCGGAGCAATATAAAGCTGTAAGATATCAAAATCTTTGCATTTGTTCAATTTTATAATAAAATTGGAATCAGTTCGTATTGTGACTTTTTGATTGTGGCTGTATAAGGTAAACATATTCTTTTTTTATTTTTTTTTCGTAGACATTTTTTTTTTGTTTTAGAAATTTGTTAATGTTCGTGCTGATTTATTTCGAAGATTTTTAACGGTGTGTCGTATTTTAAATTACTGGTAATGGTCATCATTTTATTATTTGTTTAGTAATTAAATATATACACTTTACAACAATTTTTTTTTTTTTACACGTGAGAAAATCATATCACAAATTTTTTATGACTTAGAAACTAGATAGGTACTTGGAATGAGTTCTAAACAATATGTTCTTTCAAGATTGTGTAGCATAATATTAATATGTAAAATATGAATGAAAGTGTTGGTTCACATATTCTGTCTCTGTCATTCATAAAGGCCTAACAGAAATGACACGTCTAATGTAATATATTTTTTTATGTTTATTCACATAATAGTAGTCGGCTACCCGGCTAGTGCTCTATCTATGCTGCACAACTTAGTATTATCTTAACAATTCCATAGTTCGATAATAAAATATAACATTATCAATCTAATTTAAGTAAAGGGTAAGCCAGCCGAGCCTACTGTTTACTGTTGATAGTTTTATCAAGTCTACACGGCTGCTATCGTTTACGGTCATCGATCGCCAAAACGCATATAACGACATTCATGAAATCAAATTAAATTAGAGGTAAATCATTTATTTGCTAATATGGGTGAATTACATTAAGTTTTTAGCAGAACGAATCATTGTTACCTACGCGATATATTTATGCATAATTTTCGGCTTCGGTATCGATTGTAGATTACACCCCAAGTATTCTTTAAAAATATTTTCAATGTACAGCTTTAGACTTTAAAATTAATTATCTTTTTTCCGAAAATAGTCAGATGGCGGACGATCAAGGACCCTTGAAGAGGAAACCAGGCTTCGCAACCCTGTCCATACACGCTGGGTTGAACCCAGACCAATGGAATGGAGCGATAGTGCCGCCCATCGTGCTGACTGCGATGTACAAACAACCATCTAACGGAAATTTAGTAAAGTTCATACATTTATACGTAATAGAAACCATTCAAACATTAAAACTACTAACTAAAATGATCTGAAGGCTTACCCTCAGGCCCTTTGATTGGTTCGTTCATTGAAGAAGGCCAATCAGAGAGCCGAATGCCGTTTTGATTTTGTTAAACGTAAAAAATGTCGTACAAGCCCTTTGGGCGTACATTAATGCTCTTGTCAAGTCGAGTAAATACGCGGCATAGCCGTACAATCCTTTTTATATTTGAACTTTCGATTCTTTTAAATGCATTCCATCACTTTTAGTAACCAGGGTCAAAAACTGCGCAATACATACAGAAAAAAATGATCACAGTTCCATACTCTAACTTCAATACCTTATTAATCACAATAAACAATTATCCTCACCAGTGTTAGAACAACAATAGATTAAATATCTTGTATTTTCCAGGGCTACACATATTCTCGTACGGCGAACCCAATGAGAGACACTTTAGAACAATGTCTCGCGGCACTAGAGGGAGGTAAACACGCATTTACTTTTGCATCTGGTCATGGCGTGATTATGAGTGTTCTAGCCTTACTTAGTAAAGGCGACCATATAGTTTCCATGGACAATGTCTACGGTGGCACTGGTCAGGTTATGAGGTAAGCTTTGTATTTCATCTTCATCAACAGCAGTCTGTCCACAGCTAGACATAGGCTTCTCCAATATATCCACTGAGCTGCTTTCGTTGCTTTGCTTAGATTCAGTTCTTAGCATCTTGTCTCTGGCAGATATGGTCACTTTACATGCATAGTCGATTAGCATTTTTGATTTCTTTTCAAAAGGTAAAATATTACACACTTTCTGAAGGTATCTTCAAATTAAAAAAATTAGTAATAGTCAAAATAATGAAACAATGAGAAAAGGAAACAAGTTTGTAATAGAAAGTACTAGAATAAATATCAGAATTCCAAATCGGCAATTAGAAATTGAATGTGATCGGTAATTAGTACTTTAAGTATGAAAGTCTATATTTCTAGATATTGTATGTATAACACTTAATCGTTATGTATTACTGACTATGCTTGTGATAGTATCTTCAAAGATAGCATCAGATCAGAAAAGATTATTTATCTTTGTCATCATGATTAATATCAGATTTGATAAATATTGAAGGTCGTTTGATTCGCTTTCGCATCAGTAATATATAATTACGAAGGAAATTCACTTTCAGGGAAAATCTACCAAGATTGGGAATTGACCTGACATTCACAGATGTTCGAAACGTAAGGAATTTGGAAAATGCCATTCAAGACAATACCAAGGTATGTCAGGAGCTTTTTCCTCCTAAATATGTAAGATCACTTGACATTCTTTAAAGAGCAAGGCAGAGATCCTCTCACAAAAAACAAACGTGCGTTTGATAACCAACCCTCTGGTTTGGCATTTCCTTGAATTGTTAAAGACTTGAACCAACATGCATACAGACAAAACCTAAGGCCTGTCTTCCATGGGGGTAAACAGAGACTATGGAATGCCAATTGCTACGATTCTTACACACCTCTTTCGCTTCAACGATAGGCATCAGTCTTGTCATGCATGCTCTTTGGTTACTTTTAAATTTCTCCTTCTTTAATACATTACCTATCTGGTCCATATATTCGTCTCTATCGACGGTCGAATTCATATCCGTTTATATAACCAACATAAACCCAAAACGATTAATTAAAATAAAATTTTCTCTTCAAAATTACCTTGCACGG